GGGCATCAGGTCCAACACCACCATTCAACCCCAGACACCCATTTCTGCAAGAGGAGAGGGATGTGCTTCACATGCAAGTCCAAGCTTTTGTGGGAGAGTAACCTACCCCTGTAAGAAGCTTCTGATGTCCTGTAAATGAAGAGAAGAAAGAATTCAGGACAGGCATTTGCAGTGAGACTATGTGCATATTTACAAACATGTAATGTTTCTAGTTAATTTTTTGAACCATGACAAAGCTGAGGTGTCACTGTCTCATTTTTCCATGGGGACAATATGGGCCTTACCTGGAGAAGTTCACTTGCTGGCTGCTGATGCTTCTCCTCCATCTCTTGGATGAGTTTCGAGAGAGAGGAGAGTTCTTCGGAGAGTCTGGCCAGATGTTCTTCCCCTTTGGCTGAAATTTCCTTCTCCACTTCTTTCATTTTTGCCAGCAGATTCCTCTCTTGTTCTTCTAGAAACTGGTGCATGAGCCTGAATGCAGCCATAGCCTTCTCCTTCTCTCTCTGGGTTTTCTCCTAGAATAAAGGAAAGGGGAAACAGGAGTGAGAGGCAGAAAGAAACTGCCTTTGGGCTGAATTCTCCACATTCCCTTGGAAAGAGGCTTGTGTCCCTTCTTACAGAAAATGTCAATATCCCTTAAAGAAAGAGTCTTATGAAGATTTGCAGGGGCCTGACACTGGAATGGGCCTGGATCAATATTGTCCATAGGCTATTAGGACTTTATAAATGGTAGATATTTTTGACAAAGCACTTTCCTCCCTCTTTATCCAGATTTACACTTAAAGACACAATACTCATTTTCCACTTACAAGCAAATCCTGGTTTTCCCATGCTGTTTTTGCTTTGTAGGCCAGAATTTTCTCTCTCTCCTTCTTCAGAGTCTCCAGATAATTCCAAATATGATCCTGAAGAGGAAGAAAAAGGCTTTGCTCAATTCTTTTGTTCAAGAAATAAAGTTTTATAATATATAGCATTATGCAATACCTACCAATATCAAGTGCCCAGTAGCAAATTCTCAATGTGAAAATTGATGTCCTGAAACAGAGTTTCCAGATATCAGGACCTTGGCTGGATTATCCCATTTTTGTGGGCCATCTCCAGGTGGGAGATAAAGGTACAATGTCTTTTCTGGGCTCCGCTCCAGATAAGACAAAAGGGCTGCATGCAAATTTCTAGCAAACCTACTAGAAATCAAGCTTGGTAAAGTTGGCACACCTTTAGTCATTCCATGATTCATTGTACAAGACATTCAAGGGGTGGAGATGTCTGTCTATTGAGCTTCCTCCTCTCTATTGTTGTAGCACCAGGATGTACCCTCTGCTCTGCTTGCATCCACATTGGGGCTGGAAGAAAGGAGGCTGGATTCTTTAACTCATCTACTAAAGCAGTGTTTCTCAACCTGGGAGTGGGACCAGGGTGGGGGTCGCGATGGGGGTGTCAGAGGGGTCGTCAAAGACCATCAGAAAACACAGTATTTTCTGTTGGTCATTGGGGTTCTGTGTGGGAAGTTTGACCCAATTCTCTCATTGGTGGGGTTCAGAATACTATTTGATTGTAGGTGAACTATACATCCCAGCAACTATAACTCCCAAATATCAAGGTCTATTTTCCCCAAACTACACCTGTTTTCTCATTTGGGCATATTGAGTATTTGTGCCAAATTTGGTCCAGATCCATCATTGTCTGAATCCACAGACTACAACTCCAAAAGTCAAGGTCAATGCTCACCAGACCCAGTATTTTCTGTTTTTCAAGGGAGTTCTATGTGCCAAGTTTGGTTCAATTCAATTGTTGGTGGAGTTCAGAATGCTCTTTGATTGTAGGTGAACTATAAACTGTGGTGTTGAAGGAAATTTCTGAGAGTGCCTTGGACCGTGAGAAGATCCAACTAGTCCATTCTCCAGGAAATAAAGCCTGACTGTTCATTGGAGGGAAGGATATTAGAGGCAAAGTTGAAGTACTTTGGCCACATAATGAGAAGAC